ATAATAGATGTACAATCTAACAAGGGGCCTTCTTTAAAAGTATTTGTGTTTGATTCTGTTTTGCGGTGTGTTACAACCCAGTTTGGTGAATTTAAAAGTCATTAAGATTTTTTGGGAATTTGGGGTAATTCTGCAGAGTAGTGGTTGGATTCATTGGGATAAGTGGAATATTTTGTGTTTGGTTGGAGAAATCAGTTTTGGTTACTGTTGAAGAATCAGTTTATTCCTCATAAACGGATTTTCTTCTTCAAGTGGATAATATTTTGGATCTTTGTTCGTTGCAGTGGAATTCGTGTCAAAATAGATATTATTAGAATTTGAGTATGACCTGAATTCCATGTTGAAGTAATTGAAGTGCTTGCTAAGAAGAATTCAATTTGGAATACTATTGGTGTCCTATAACAAATTGAAGTTCAATTTTGAAAGTCCATTGGAAGTTGAAAATTGGTATTGGACTTAAAGAAGAGTTTGGGATGAAGAAAACAACTTGGAACAAAAAAATATTGGGGCAGCGCAGCGACGCCAACTGTACATGTTCCGGTTTTTAGCCTTTTTCTCTCCTTTTTCATTTTGAACTCGATTTTTTGACATCCTACTTCATTAACAATTCTACTATGAGGATTTGAATGTCCCCTATATGTTCCTTATAAATATTAGGCTCTTCTATAAAATTTTATAATATAAGAAAATAGATTACTAGAATTTTAGGATCAATTGTATATTTCTCCATTATTATTGGTGCAATAAAATCTCCTAATCTCTCTGCCCTATTTTCTTGTCTTCTTTTATTTTTTTTACTTGTAATCAAATATTTTATTATTGTGCCATATAATTTTAACATCTTAATCCAGTGGTTGGTTTCATATCAAGTGATATCAAGCGATACGTGATCCTTGAATTTTCAACAATTGGTATCACATATTTTGGACATAATTTGCACAAGAAGTGGTATCCGATCAATTATGATATCTTGTTTGTTTCTCAACAACATGAAATTCACAACCAATATTGTCGTTCCTCAAGCATCTTATTTTCTGTTCAAACTTCTTTGTACAATATTGTTGAATTCAATAAACTTGAATAATGCTTCACTCTTCTCTTTCAAAATACACACCCAAGTGTAACCAACACCATGACATAGTGCTAACCATCTGTACAAACCAGTTCAAACAACCTCAACTTACGATTGGATGAACTCCTGAAATGAAGACGATGTGATTTTTTGTATTGAGTAAAGCCATTTGTATGGAAAATGGCCACACCCTGGCTTACAGATGTGTATGTGGAAGAAAATGAGCGGCTAGATGAAAAGTATTTTCTTTTGTAAAAGATGGTGAGAGATGAAGTTAAGTGTAAATTTTGTAACTTAGGATGTAAACGTGGATGTACATGTAGCATGATTGTATATTTATTGTTACTTCCTCTATGAGAGATAAGAATTTACGATAAAGCAAGAAAATACACAGAGATAAAAACTTACGATAAAGTAAGAAAAAACGCATTTAACATTGACGAATTATACTTATTATTATTGTTTTTTATAAAATGCTCAAGGAAATGATAATATACAATAGTAGTTCATTAAAACTGAGAAGTAGTGTATGCACTATTATGTCATGTCATACATTGAATGTTGCATTTAAGGTTTCTCTCACTCTATTGGTAGTGTAAACAAAAAAAAAATGTACACCAAACATTGATGAGTTATACTTTTTTCACATTGAAAATGCTAAAAAAAAAAAAAAAAAATTAGGATTGTCCTATAGTAGTTCATAAAAGTTGAGCACTTTGATGTCATATCATAGATTATATTTATTTACGATAAAGCAAGAAAATATGCATTAACATTGACAAGTTGTACTTTTTCACTTAAAAAAATGCTAAGCAAATGATAATATACAATATTAGTTCATGAAAACTAAGTAATGTCATACATTGCATGTTGCGTTTAAGGTTACTTTCACTCTATCAGTAATGTACAATAAACAAGAAAGTGCACACCTAACATTGATGAGTTATACTTTTTTTTTTCACATTGAAAATGTTTGTCCTATATTTGTTCCTAAAAATTGAGCATTATAGTAATTGTACTTCGATGTCATATCATATATTCCATGCTTATTTATAGTTACTTTCTTTATAAGGGATAAAACTTTACGATAAAGCAAGAAATACGCATTTAACAATGACGAGTTGTATTTTTTTTTTTTTTTTTTTGATGTTAAAAAATGCTAAAGGAAATGATAGTATATAATACTAGTTCATTAAAACTGAGAAGTGATGTATGTACTATTACGTCATGTCATACATTAAATTTTGTATTTAATGTTACTCACTCTATTGGTAACGTACAATAAAAAAGAAAGTGTACACCTAACATTGATGAATTACACTTTTTTCACATTGAAAGTGCTAATAGAAATTAGGATTGTCCTATACTGGTCCATAATAATTGAGCATTATAGCAATTGTACTTTGATGGCATATCATAAATTCTATGCGTATATTTGTATTTGTTTCCATTATAAGTGATAAAATTTACGATAAAGAAAGAAAAATATGCATAGATAAAAACTTACGATAAAGCACGAAAATACGGATTTAACATTGACGAGTTGTACTTTTTTCACATTAAAAATGCTAAAGTAAATGATAATATACAATACTTGTTTATTAAAACTGAGAAGTAATGTATATACTATTACGTTATGTTATACATTGCATGATGCATTTAAGGTTACTCTCATTCTATGGGTAGTGTACAGTAAAACAAGAAATTGCGCACTTAACATTGATTAGTTGTACATTTTTTCACATTGGAAATTCTAAAAGCAATTAGGATTGCCTATAATACTTGAGCACTATAGTATTTGTACTTTGACGACATATCATACTTCCATGCTTACGTTT